GGTTTCGGCATCCCTTGCCTTGATTTTATTTAAATGAGGATAATTTAATGGATCGTTGGGACAATATGAAGTATAACAATATTTGCATAATAAGGGTAACAGAAGGAAAAGAGAGAGAGCAAAGGATTAAGAATCTATCTGAAAAAAATAATGACCAAAATTCACTAACATAGTAAAAGAAAAAGCACATAAGTCTAAGAAGTACAGAGAGTCCCAAACAAAATGTCCAAAGAGACCCACACCAAGACACATCATAATTAAATTGGAAAAGGTTAAAAACAAAGAGAGAATTTTAAAAGCTTCAGGAGAAAAACAATGAGTTATCTATAAAGGAGTTCTCATAAAACTATCAGCTGAGTTCTCAACAGAAACATCTCAGTCCTGAAGAAATTGGAATGAAATATTCAAAGTGATGAAAAGCAATGGAATACAATGAAGACTGCTCCTCCCAGTAAGGCCATTATTCTAAATTGAAGGAGAAAGAATGAACCAGGAAGCCCAGGTTCGATTCCAGTCAAGAGCATATACCTGGGTTGTGGGCTTGATCCCCAATGGGTCACATGCAGGAGGCAGCTGATCGGTTCATTACCACCAAACCAGCATTACAAGAAACACTAAAGGGTATACTTTAAGAAGAGAAAGGAAAGAGAGAGAGAGAGAGAGAGAGAGAGAGAGAGAATGGAAACAAAACAGAAAAAGCTGGGTTACCAGTCCTTGTATCAGACAAAATAGACTTTAAAACGAACACTATAATGAGAAATAAAGAAGGATGCTACTAATGATAAAGGGATCAATCCAACAAGAGGACATTTACGCACCTAATATTGGTGTACCTAAATACATAAAACAAATCTTGATGGACATTAAGGGAGAGAGTGACAATAACACAGTCACAGTAGGGGATTTTAACACATTATTGACATCTATGGGTAGATCTTCAAGACTTAATATCAACAAGGAAACAGTGGCCTTATATGACACACTAGGTCAGAGGGATTTATTTGATACTTTCACAGCATTTCACCCAAAAGCAGAAGAATATACATGTTTTTCAAGTGTACATAAAACACTTTTTGGATAGACAACATGTTAGGATCCAAAACAAGCCTCAGTAGATTTAAGAAGATTGAAATCATATCAAGCATCTTCTCTCACCACATGG